AAATCCGGCCTCCTGCGATTTCATATTCTCTAAATATAAAAGTTTTTCCAGTCTTGTGCAGGGTTACCAAAAAGTTCTGGCGATTTCGTGTCCATGCGTTTTTTGAGAGGTCATAATATTCTTTTTTTCCCATAAGTTACTTCTATTCCGCAAGCAATTTCGATCTACTGTATGAGTCATCTATCAAATCACTTTCGATTTCTCCTCACAATGTTTGGAGAAAATCAAAAGGTCACAGTTGAGATGCATTTTCTGGCCATGCTTAAAGAATGTGCTCTCCACCGACGAAAAATTTTTTCGACTTTTTGGTCACCCTGTACATTATATACATTAAATATGAAATCTAGGCGCAAGCGCAAACTCCTATTTATATAACATCAATTACCGAAAGGGATGCTGAACGAACCCCGCACGCATGCTTATTATGCTAACCAAAAATTTTCTGGTTATCTCACCAAATGAGAAGGTTTTATTGCACTTGAATAATGGATTATCAAAGTGATAAAGCTGGACAGTCTCTTTTTTAGCGCATGACCGCGCACGCCACTTCCAATTCAAGTAATGTAGTCGGCATATTCCAGTGCGACAGATACCCCATACATGTCTTGTGGGAAGCCGGCCAAATGTACAAATCGGCTGCTTTCTTTCCCGATGAGTTAGGTACCAAGGCAGCATAGACTGGCATTTGGTTGGCTGGCAGGAAACACGATCCAAAGTTTCGATCCCGGCACAATGGTCGGGTACGCGGCGCCTTCCTTTCTGCGACTACATCGCCTTCGCCTTTGAGGGTATCTGTCCATATGATAACAAGTGTAGTCCACTCCTTCCTGCTGCGCAGGCAGCTTCGAGACGCTATATTTTAAGACATAAGCGGCACAAGGCGACTGTGAATTGGGAGCTACATATAACTTCGAGTGACAGGTCTCCGAGAAGTTAGGTGTTTATCGCTATTTCCGGCTGAAGCTATCATCGGGAAGTGTGGAAAACAGTCCAGAATCTTCTTGTAATATTGGGTACAGATGGCATCACTATTGATGTTCGATCCCTTCCCTTCTTCGCTGTACCTCTAGGATACGTGCATTTAACGAGGTACACCAGCTGGCACGGACTTCATCGAGACCGAGTTTTTCGAATCTCGTGGGGCTCCTCATCAGAGCCAACCATTTCTTGCGGATGGTGAAGAATAGATCAACTCTTTGGAATGCATCTGAGAGTTCCCTGCACAAGATTGGAAAAACTTTTATATTTAGAGAATATGAAATCGCAGGAGGCCGGATTTCATAGTCTCTAAATATGAAATCTGACCTCTTGCGCAAACTCCTATTTGTATAAGATTAATTTTTTCAAAAGAATGCTGAGTGGTGCTTCAGACTACAATAGTGTCGATCGCACTGTGGCCTATTTCAGGTGTGGATAACAGGATTACCGAAGCTCGAACGCCAGGAGCACTACGATCAGGGTCCGTACGCTGTCATTCTCGCACCCACGAGAGAATTAGCGCAGCAGGTGTGTTTTTATTTTTATTTCACGATTTCTTGGTGACTTATATTTTATCTGTGGCGTGTGCCGGATCTCCTACAAATATCTCGAAAGAAATAATTCAGATCGAAGAGGAAACCAACAAGTTTGGTGAATTGCTGAAGATTCGAACTGTGTCCGTTATAGGAGGTGCATCGCGTGAGGATCAAGGAATGAAGCTTCGCATGGGAGTTGAAGTCAGTTTTGCTTTTTTGTTTTGAATTCGATGGAGTCATCTGCTGCTACTGCTACACAAGCAGCACTGACTGCTACAGCTTTTTCTATTCAAATGGTCAATAGATCTTTCCAGGTCGTCATCGCTACACCTGGACGTCTTTTAGACGTACTGGAAAATAGATACCTCCTTCTAAACCAGTGCTCTTATGTTATTCTTGACGAGGCTGATCGTATGTTGGATATGGGATTTGAGCCTGAAGTGCAAAAGGTATTTACTACCAATACCTGTTAATTGCAATTTATTTCTATACTACCTCTGCTTACTGTAGCATCTGCACATACTACTAACTATATTTTGTTTGGTGTATTGCCTCCGGTTTTTATGTTGTTGAGCTCCAATACATCGCTCATGCGATTCGCCTTACACCAAGCTCATTTCAGGTTTTGAGTTATTTGCCAGTTTCTAATCAGAAACCTGACACTGATGACATTGAACATGAAGAAGCGCTAATGAACAATTTTGCTACGAGAGAAAAGTACCGTCAGGTTTGTATTAATGCTTCTTTCTTTCGGTTAATCTCAGTCTGGGTGTGTCCAATTCAAATTCTCTCGAGTCGAAGAGGAAGGCCTGCGGCTCAATTCTCTGATGTCCTTTTGGGCGTGAAAGTCAACGTTCCTTTCCTAGAAGTTGAAAATGTTTTTATGCGTTCTGTAAGTAGTATTAAATGGAGCAGTGCTATGGAGTCTATGCTAAAGCTGCGCTCATACTTTGCGTCAGCGACGGCAGCGTTTCGAGCGTGCACCTGCGCCAGCGACTTGATAAGTAGTAGTATCGACCTAGCGTACGACAGCGCAAGACAGCATTTTGGCAGGGATTTTGAGCATGAGCGAATTGGCCGCGAAAACGCTGGCACATTCGGGCGCTGTCTACGAACATCTATAACTAAGTTCCTTCAAGCCCCACTTTCTGTTTTTCTCTACACTCTCTTGCCTGGATGGCACTTTGTGACCACTCCGACTTTTCACGTCTCAACTTTACACGCATGCTTAGTGGCTCATCCGGGAGACGGTAAAGAGGATCGTAATTCGCCGCACCGCCACGCGCGGCGATGGCGCGGCGTTTTCATAACTCGTTTTAACCTGTCGAATGAAGCACCGGACTTCATGTAGACCCCGTCATCGTAGACACTCATTACTGTTTTCGGTCCTTAATTGCATGTTGTCGCCATCTACTGCCTGAAACCATCGTCCTTTGCGGGCGGACGTCGCACGCGACGCCCAGCAGCGCGGCAAATTACGATCCTCTTGTCACATACCCCCCTTTACTGCTCTGCGCTCTGGCATATCGCGGGGGCCCCCACGGAAAGTTTTAATGTCACGTAACCGACGAGCGTACACTGATTGATATACTCTAGTTCGCTGCGGACGGTTGGGCGTGTCAGGCAGTATGAGTGTGTCACACCGTCAAAGCCGTTTCTGCTTCCTTGTTGAAGTGCGCATGCGACAACCAGTGGTAGAAAACGAGTAATACGAACGATATGATACAGTCTTATCACTTGCTCGCTTTAACAACTGGTGGAGAACGGGTTTGGCACCGCGCCAAACTCATCCCGCCTGACACGCCCAAGTGTACTACACTACAGGGGGGGGGGCAAAAAAAAGTCATTTCGGCCGAGCCACATATCAACGAAGTTTTCGCAGCCCAGACAGGGGAAGTGGATATGAGTACCAGGGTGGAAGATACCCAAGATCTTCCTCTATAAGCTGGAGCAGGCTGCCGCCAATCGCCTTCATGTACACCAAAATATGAAGTCATCTCCAGTCGCGGCCTGACTGGAGAACACCTTTGGAATTCACGTCGCCTCCAAACAGCTGCGAAACTTCTTGAGTCAACTTCGCTACGGTCTAGGACATCATCTTCACCGTATTCGCCGAGGCGCGAGTTGATGGTATGGAGGTACCTGGAAAGGGAAGACCGATATTTTCTTTGTAGACCCCGACTGAAGGTGAGCGCTGGCGGTTACATCAAGTAACTCGAGAAGAATATCCTCCCTACATGTGGTCGCCCGTACCTTCTTGGAGACCTTGTGCTGCTACAGGTTTGGGTGCCACCACATGGAATCGAAGGGTTTTGGAAAAACTCCCGCCTACTTCGAATGGAAGGGCGTTTCGTACCTGAAGAAGATGTAATATTGAAGTATGTCCCCTGACCTGAACCCACTCAATTACCTAGTTCGGGCGGACTTCAAGAGGGTGGTCTACGGTGGCGGAGAAATCGACTACCCCGCTGATCTCAGGTACCACATCGCGGTCGCGTGCCAGAATCTCTCGATGGCGCTCGTCCAGAAGGCTGTGGCGGAGTGTCGTGATAGTACTTAATATGCTCTTCAATATGGTAGTAAAAATGTCCGATCAGAATTTGATAAAGTGTAATTTATAGCGCCTCGAAAGTCAATGAGGCAAAGTGACTTTTTTTTGCCCCCCCCCCTGTATATCTGTACTTTCCTAGTCTCTCGAAATGCTGACGACGCAAGGTATGAACGCAGCCCAAAGAGGGGTTGTGTTTAGCCGCTAGAGGGAGAGTGTTCAGCTGGTTGAGAATTTTCACATTGCTGATTCCTATCGTCCTTTCGGTCAGTGGTGTATGACCGATCATGTGTTTACGTTCAAGGTTTTACTTTATCTAACACTGGAGTGAATTTCTTTCCCCTACTCCGCTCAACGGATGTTGGCCTGCTTCCCACATTTCCATGCTGTGTCCTGCCAATAAGATTGTTCACTTCCAGACTGTGATGTTCACGGCGACCATGTCCCCAGCTATTGAACGTTTAGCAAGGGCATATTTACGGCGTCCTGCAGTCGTCCACATAGGATCCGCCGGCCGTCCTACAGAAAGAGTGGAGCAGGTAACTTATTTTTGTAGAATGCCGCTGAAGCAATATTCTTCTTAAGAAAGGCTACTGGGGAAGGATAAGATGCTCTTCAGATTGTCTACATGTTGTCAGAAGACAAAAAGAAGAAGAAACTGGTCGAGGTGTTGGAGCAGCACTTTGAACCACCCATTATCATTTTCGTTAACCAGAAGAAGGTACGGAAGATTCTTTTTCCTAGTGTTCATGCTTACTATCTCTCTTGTACTATGACTTATACCATTTAAATGGTTGTAGGGTGCTGATCTTCTGGCAAAAGGTCTCAGCAAATTGAATTTCAATCCCGTCGTCCTCCACGGTGGTAAAGGACAGGAAACAAGAGAATATGCGTTGCAAGCACTCAAGGATAAGACGAAGGATATCCTCGTTGCCACTGATGTCGCAGGAAGAGGTAAGTGACTTGCACCCTGCATTCGCAAGTATTTTTTTTACTGAACGAACCACTTGCTTTATCGTACATTTCTGCTTGTAGTTCGTTATTTTCTACATTTTACACTTTATACCTTTCAGGTATTGACATCAAGGACGTCTCCTTAGTCTTGAACTACGATATGGCAAAATCCATTGAGGACTATACTCATCGGATAGGAAGAACAGGTATTACTAGGCTCACATTTTTTTTTCTTGAGCTGAGAGCTTCATGTGTTTGTGAGCGAATAGTACACGAGCATAAAAGCCCTTCGCAAAGTTGTAAGCTGAGGACGGCTTGTTGCAGGAACGGGACGTTTCTTTTTCTCTCAGTGGTTTGCAGCCATGATGAGATCGCTTTATTCGTTTTTTGAAGCGAAAATGAAACGCCTATATGTGCTTTAAAAAAGGATGGTTTTGGCAATCATTGATCTTCCGTGCCTGACCGATAGAGAATAATCTTATAAGTTAGGTATTAGCAACAATTGAACTTGATTCGTTCCTTGAAAAAAGGATGCATCGAAATTGCATGAACCCTGTAACACTACTTGCGACCTGTAGGACATGTGTGGTCTGTTTCGTTTTCGATGCTAATGCCATCTGAACCAGTCAAAGTGCTTTACATTCGGTGGTCATTGAATCACTTCTGGTCTCCTAAAGTGGATGGACATCAAACTGGAACATCTCTTCCTATTCTCCCCTACCCGTTCCAGGCTCATCTTCTTTTTTTCCATTGGATGAACTCATTTCAAACACTTTCTCAAAAAAGCTCTTTCTGCTGAAAGCCTGTTTGCCGAATTCGGGTCGCTTGAATTGGTGTTCTGGAAATTAAGCGTGAATCAGACCTGTAAGGGCAACTTTTTGGTCACAAGTGTCCCTAGCAACTTAACAAGCATAATCACTGATATCACAGATACTTAATTTTTTCCGGATAGTTAGACTTGGCCGAAATTTTGTGCTTGCGCTGAGGGTGTCTGCGCTACAGGTCGGCAGTATTTGTGGTGTTCTCGCACCTATCAAGTGCGATATTCGTGCATAGATGGTCAAACTACCTCTGAGGTAAGCTAACAGCAAATCAGGTGTACTGAGGTGTTTTTTCAGAAATTTTTGCGCCAAATGCGCTCCATTTTTATCGAACTTTGTTCATGCGTATAGGTTTACCTGAAAGTTGGTCTGTGGCTAATTTAACATATCGAACCGGATACGATTATTGCATTTTTTTGAGAACGTCTGACACCTTCGGTAGAAGACCCTGCGCTGCAGATCTGTGCTAGTGCCGACGCCTGTCGCGCCGGCACCAGTCGCCAACGGACGTTTTTGCTTCGAGCGATGTGAGATTCGTGTGCAGGAAACTAAACTGCCTCTGAGGACAATCCAGAGTGAAGTTGGTGATCTGAAGTGTTTTGGCGCTTGTGGCGGGTTCTGCGTTGAACGAATGCGGATACGGTGTTGTGTTGAGTAAGTAACGGAACCGCGTTGAGGGGTGCAACTACCTTCAGATAGATTTTCAGCCAGGTCTAACCACGAGGAAATTTTTGATCGAAATCTGACCTGGAGTTTGAAAACCGAATTTGACCCAATTAAGTATGTGCCAACTGTGTTTCAGATTGCGCGTAGTTATTTCAAAATGTTACAGGCATAAGTCACGATAAACCCGCTCGTACCCGGCATAAAATGGTAGCGGAGGTGCTGTGTAGTGCAAAAAAAGGCGAAAAAAAATCAAGTGAAACTATAAAAAAAACCTGCAAAAAGCTTTCGGTTCACACGACACAGTCAGCAATTGCGGGCCATTCCCGTTGGCACCGTGCCAACCGCTACTCTAGGTACGGCTACATATATATGTACTCATCTTTACGATAGGTCCGATGTCCGTGTCGTCGTGGTGTGTGTGTGTGTGTGTGTGTCTGTGTGTGCGTCTGTCTGTCTGTCACGAAATTCATAGCACCTGAAGAAGAACTTGGAGGGGTCGGGTCATGGTGGGGATGGGTAGAGCATGGGACAAAACCTAAATAGCACCCATGACCCATGGTAAGCCCCCCACAGTGGGCGGGGCGTGCGTCGGAAAGTCAGCGATGTCACTGAAAAAAAGTCACAACTCGCTTCCAGAGCAGTCCCAAGATGAGGAGATGAGGAAACAGTGCAGTAAAGTTAATAAGGGGTCGACCGACCAAATAGAGGAGACACACCCGAAATGGGCGGGGCGTACTT